TTTTTTTTTTTTTTTGTAGAACAAGAAATTCCTGCAAATGTTTTGCAACACCTTTACAATAATTTCTAGTTGATCTTACACAAGTGTGTAATTCTGAAATGGGAAGCCTCACCTGTTGGAAGTACAGCAGGTTCCCAATATGGGCATTAAACCATTTCATTAAACCATTAAAGGCTGCAGAGAGGTGTATTTTTCATTTTGCTTTCTCTTGGCAGCTCTCAAATACCCTGGTGTTCTCTGCTCATGAAAGGGGGTGATTAATGGATTATCCCTTTCATAGAGAGATGAATGAGGGGAGCGGGGGTCTGAGTTATTTTGGAGGTCTCGGTCTGACTCATGGGCTCCCTTCATGTTTCTGTCCCTTCCTGCCATTTTTAGGTACTCAGGAGAGTGGAAAATTGCCACCCGCCCCTTCTATGGCAGCCATAGCTGCCAAAATTTCAGTTCCTATTAAAATGTTTTATTGACAGAACCACTTTTTTGGGGGTAGGACAGGGAAATAATGCATTCATACCTGCATTTAGGCCCAAGACTTTTATGTATGCCACAATGAAACTTTGGGCCTCAGCATAGAAGAAAATCTTTCCTCATAACCATGATCCGCAACCATGTACTTCTTCACTGCCCCATCTGATGTCAAATCCTGGAAGTGAACACCTTCCCAAGGCCTTTGGGGACCGCTCTGTCCCTTTCCCACAATTTGTTCATTCTTAAGAGCTAAAGTCTCAGAGCAGCATGAGATATGGGGACTGGTGGAGTGTGATCCTTATATGGATAGTTAAAACAGTTTTTCTGTCTTCTTATCTTGTTGCTTTGTCTTTGTCTTTGTTGGTTTAACTTGGACTTCCTAATAAAGTCTGTTCAGAGTTTCCTGTTGTTTCCAGTTGTTTTCTCAAGCTACTAGAAATAAAACAAATCCAATTGTCACAAATATTCTTTCTTTCTTTATTTATTTACTTAAAGTTTTTCTATGCCGTCCCATTACTAAAAATCTCTGGATGGCTTACAAAAGACAAAAAACCAAAAAACCAAGAACAAAATACCACAACAACAACAACACACTACACATTTCTTAGGTCTCAGTTCAGAAATTAGCTATAAGAATCTTTGTGAAACTTCATGATTGTGGTTTTACTCTTCATAATTCATATTGCATTATCTTTGGTCTTGTTACAACAAACACTGGAAACATTTTTTTCATTTTTCCCACAGATGAAGGAGTGCAGCAATTGTGGGATACAGACCCTTTGTCAAACATACAGTACCAGGTCAACTCAAATGCTGCTCTGACATGGTACCAAGCTAGTAAAAGCTGTCAGCAACAAAATGCTGATTTGTTGGGCATCACAGAGTTACGTGAGCAAATGTACCTGACCGGTAAGTCATCAGGGTACTGAATCTCGTGTAACGTTTCACACAACACAGCACAATTGAATCACACGGGACAGAAGCATTGTGTAATAGGATGTGTGCTGTCCCTGGTCTTGGCCACCCAAGGTTAGGCACCTTGATCTTATCCCTTCTATAACTGGGCCTTTCATGATTGGGAGCAGGAGAAAGTCCCAACTGCAAAGCAGAAGTCCCACCAATTCAGTTTTATATATACATTAAGGAATGTCTGCATATATGGGAGTCAGAATGACACTCTGTCTTGCATCCTACCGTCATGATGCATTATACACTGTTGCACCATGAGTAGTAGAAGTCTGCTCAACTGGTTTAAGGCTTCTGCTATCGCAGCAACAGGACCACATGGAAAAAATCTGGCTTCAATTTAATATTTCAGACCACCACAAAGAAAGAAGGAAGGAAGGACAGAAAGAATAAAGGAGCTTACGGTTCTTTTATTGCTTGATACTACAGTTCCCAACTGCCACAGTCAATATGGACAATTATAAAGGATTATGGAAGCTGTGGAGCCAAATATTGGAGCAATCTAGGTAGGGGAAGGCTGTTCTAACATCAAATTTAGCTAGTGATCTACATGCTGCACTGTAGATCTGCACTCACTGGAATATTTCTGAATTTTATAAATAAATATAAATAAATAAACCTAATATTGAGGTTTCTGTGTGAGTATCAACCAAAGTAATGCCACTACTTTCAAGGCTACATTTCTAAAAATACGGATGCCCCAACTTAGCCTGCCCATGTATTCCCCTCTCTGACAAGAAGTGATTTCTCTTGTGGCAAGATTCGTAGGAACTGGTTGTAGTGATCCTGTGTTAAGACAAAGATATTTTGCACGTGTTCACAGGCAATCTTTTTTTTTTAAACAAGAACTATTACCAAGAATGGGTTTCGGAGGGCTAGACTTCAGTCAGCTCAGGATTAAGCTCTGGAATATATCCTACAGCAGGAAAATAGGATCCTAACCTAGTTAAAAAGCAGACTAGATAGTGTAAGTTAAAAGACGTACATGGCGGATCATGGACATTTGGTGGCCCGTGTGATGCCATAAAGACTCCCAGCTCACAAAGGCACTCCTGCCACCACTTTCTCCTTGCCACACCACAGCCCAGGGATGGACAATTCTGGGCCGTCCAGATGTTTTGCCTGTGGTGGTTAGGACCAATGGGGACGGTAGGGCAACACATCTGAAGTCCACAAGTGGACTGCTCTTCTGCACGCCCTCCTCCTTGCCCAGTTGCCCCTGCCGCACAGGAGGAACCGCAAACACTTTTGCAAGCGTGGGGCTCTCAGCTGGCCGAATGTGACTTCCTTGTGTCACTATCCTCATGGTCAGCGTGAAGAGGACGTGTCCGGAGGTTGCGTTTGCAATGTATCAGGTTTCTCACCATCTCACTGAGAGCAGGTGTGGTATGATAGGGTGCTGAGCTGGGATTCTCACTCTAACCCCCACTTGGCCATGAAGCTCACTGGGTGACTCTCAGTCCAACCTACCTCACAGGGTTGTTGTTGTGAGGAAAAACATGGAGCTATGTAAGCCACCTTGGGTTCCTCACAAGAAGGAAAACCGGAGCTATATACATGCAATGTCTCCCTCATCATCATCACATCACGTTTGTACCTGGCCTTTCCTCTTTCAAAGAAGCCAGGTGGTTTATATAGTCTTCCTCGCCATTTTATCCTCATGACAACCCTGTGAGGTAGGTAAGGCTGAGAATGAGTGACTGGTGCAAAGTCATCCAGTGGACTTTATGGCGAGTGGAGACTGTAACCCAGATTTCCTTGGTCCTTGCCCAGCTCAGGATCCACTATGACACACGAGCTCCCAAAGGGACTTTCTGGAAGAAGTTGCTTCTCCCATCATAATCTGCAGTGGCGAGAGAAGCTGACAATTTCCCTCTAGTTTCCTGTCCCTGCTCCTGCCCCAGTCTTCTGTCACTGTTGAGTGTTCATGAGGCGAACAACTTGCTGCATTTTGCATCCTTATTCAGGGCTAACTTCCAAATTGACATCCGAACTCTGGTGTGGTCTTAATAGCTTGGACTTCAACAGTGGGTGGCAATGGACTGGTACCCATCCTTTCAGATACCTCAACTGGGCACCAGGTAACTGCTTAAATTTGATGTTAGTACGCAGCAGTCCGCATGCACTTTCTATTTTAATCTTACTCGTATATGTTTCCCCTGTTATATCTACAATTTAACCTTCACCACACATGCATTTCAAACCATTCTTCCAAGTAACTGTGCAATTTTAAATGATTTTTGTGATGAATTTTTAATTTAGTTCCTTTGTAGGGAAACTCAAATGTTCCTCAAGCCACCTGTTTAAACACATGATGTGCTCCCACTTTCTGTCTGTGAAAATTTGGCATGGGCTAGGAGAAAAGTGCCCTGATGCTCGGATGCAGTGACGCACGAGCAGTTGTTCAACATGGAATCGAATCCTTTTGTTAGGAATGTCCAGTTTCCAGGCCTCTCCCTGTACTTGGCAGCTACTATGTTTTAAATTTGCTGATGGGTGACCAGAAGTTGGTCTAGCTCATTCTTAAGCCCACTGCTCTAAACTTAGCTGCCTCTTATCCAGAGATGTCACTGTGGATGTTGAAAGCCATATTCCTGGCCTGCATTCAGCTCACCTGAGATCCCTGCTTGGCCCTCTGGAGATCTCAGATGACTACACACCCTTCTCTGGCTCCACCACTTTTCCAAAGGTTTGGAGATTTCCTGGCTTTTTCATGAGTAAAAGTTGCAATGCTTCTCTTAAAGCTTAGTTATGGGAAAGAAGCACTTTAAGCAAAGGTACCTGGCTATTTTGGGTACTGACTCCATCCCTTTTTCTTTGATCTCACTCAACACTGGAATGTATCCCCCAAGAGCTTCTCTGAAAATGAACTTGGGCCTCAGACTGCAAGAAGGTTGAAACCCCTAAATGAATGCCTTTTATATATCCACTGGCTACAGTGGAATTTTGTAATATTGACATGAAGTGAAAAATCTTTCTTCTTTGCATCTTTTCTTAAAGGAAGTCCTTCACCAGAACCTGGAAAAAACTGTGCAACATTCCATCCTGGCAAAGGTGCCAAGTGGGAAAACCAAGAATGTGACAAGAAATTTGGTTACATTTGTAAAAAAGGGAATTCCACACTGAACACCTACATTATTCCGACAGGTAGGTTGTTGAACACAACAGGATACGATAAATCAGCAGTGCAGTGATGGGGAAACAGGATTATTCTTATTTATAAGCTTAGCAAATAGGAGTCATTGAAACAGGCCGTGCTGGCTGCTTGAAAGCTCGCTGCTTAAAAGCATCTAGTTGTGGGGAATCATTACCTACTTTTTCTTGTTTTAGAAGGGCCTATTTGCTAGGACTGTGTAAATAGCCCCCATGCTAGGTATAATTTCAATATCTATCTACAGATGGAATAGGTAAACCTGAGGCTTGCAGGACCTACTGTTTTAATGGAAGTCTGAGAGCTCAGTGCTGAGGGCAAGTGCTTAGAATTAAAGAATTCTGAGCCCAGGATGGAGCTGGAATGCCAGGCCAAAGGGATCTCACGCCCCTTCCAGATGAGGCCTGCTCCTGGTAGCTGCAGACTTCTCTGATGACACCAACGAAACTCCATTCCTCATCTCTTTCTTCATTTCACTAGGAGCCTTTAGGGCAGAGGGGAGTCCACAGAAAGGTTCAAAATTAGCTTGTTTGCAAGCTTTGTGTTCTTCATAGGACCTACAGAGTGGTAAAGGCATAAATATTATTTTCAAACAAACAAACCAGTTCAGGCCCTGATGCTGCGCCATAGTTGTTCCAGATGTCATTTTGCATGATGCTAATGAAAGATTTTCAAACATAGCAAATAAATAAATAAATAAATATTTTGGAGGGCACTGGGGCAGGGCATAGAGGCTGCCTATGCTCATGTTTCTTTCTAAACCCTTCTTCTTTAGTGGATTTTCTTGTAGAGTGGGCATAAGCCTTTTAAATGGCTCTTTTTAAGGTCATGCTCATTTTCCTTATAGTTTGCATTGGAATTAGTCAAGACTATAATGCTCCAACGGTCCAATATAGAACCATTCTATATGTTTTCCTTCATCTTTTAATTCTTGCCACAACATCATCATCATCATCATCATCATCATCATCAT